ACAGTACTACACAGTATTCCTCAACTCAGCATGACACCAAAGAAAGTGCAGAGCGAGCACGGTGGTAAAAAGAAAGTGCAGAGAGGTAATGAAGTTAACCGGAATGTAGAGTGGCAATGAAGGTAACAAGAAAGCACAGAGTAAGAATGGTAAGAAGCAGATTTGGAAGGAAACAACCATTGAATTGAAGAGAGAAATTGTAGAAAAGCCTGAGTGTGACATTGTGTGCCTGATCTGGCCTTAGAGTACAAGATTTCAAAGTTGGCAATCGTGACTGTTTTAAAGAATAAAGATGCCAGGGGAAGGGCACATAGCTCAGTGGCATAGCACTTGCCTTGCAAGTGTGAGGCCATGAGTTTGATTCCCAGTATAAAGGTCCCATCAAAGAAGCTGATGTGACAAAAGGAATCAGGAGGCTAACCAAGCAGAAGATACACGTGCTGGAAAGTATTGGAAAACTTTTACTAGTGTGGTTGAATGAGAAACAGCTGCCAGGTGATAGTCTTAGCTACGACCTGTGCAAAAGTCAGGAAATTGCACAGTGATTTGCTGCAAGAAAACCCTTCTACAAGTGCAATAAGTGGCGGCTTTAAAGCCAGTAGAGGGTGGTTTGACAGATTCTGCAAGAGAAGGGGTCTCCCCAGTGTGACAACACATGTTGAAGCTTCCAAGGATTCTGCAGAGGCCTACAAGAAAGAAGTCATGGAATTCATGAAGACAGAAGAATATGTCACTCAACAATTGTTCATTTTGGATGAAACAGGGCTCTTCTAGAAGAAGACACCAAACAGAACCCACATCGTACAAGAGGAAAGGGCACTGCCAGAGCACAAAATCATGCAAGACAAATTGACCCTGCTGTTGTGCAGGAGCACACGCACCCATCTAAAAATTAAACCACTACTGGTGAACCATTCGCAGACCCCTCGTGCATTGCAGGAACAGAATATGAACAAGGCTGGACTGCCTGTTGCACAGAGGCCAATGTGAAAATTTGGATCACAAAGGCTGGACCAATTATTCATTGAACGGCGCATGAAATGTTCTACCCACTGTGAAGAAGTATCTTTCTTTTGTTCATTTTTTTTATTTTAATAAACAAAAGAAGGAAAACATATTAACAAACAGACATCCATTTACAAAATAGCATAAGAACAATACAAACAAAACAGAGTTACAAAGTTATAGGAAATTAACCATGGCTGTTGTTGTACTTATTGATATCTTCAAAGTGGTTCCCAGGAAAACAAATAGAGACATACAAGCTTGAACAAACAAGTAATCATTAACTGTTCCTTTCTGTAGAGCAATAGAAGACAGTTGTACAGCTATGTTAGCTTCCTTGTATATACATACTTACATAATTTCCCCTTCTTTCACTTAGCTTTTCCCACACCCCAGTTGCCCTTTACTTTTGAGCATTTTCCTTTCATTTCACAATGTCTACCATATCTTCTAGTTTTTATTCACTTTGTTAGATCTTACACTAGTGAGACAATGAGATGCTTGTACATGCAGGTCTGATTTATTTCACTTATGAGTATGGTCTGTAGTTGTGACCATTTACCTATACAAGCCTCGAGTTTATCTTTCTTTAAAGCTGAGTAATGTTCCATTATATAAAAGTACCACAATTTTTTTATCCAATCCTCAGTGGATAGACATTTTTGTTGCTTCCACAATTTACCAATTACAAATTGCACTGCTACGAACATGGGTGCACATATATCGCTGTGATATGACGTTTTCAGATCTTCCGGGAAAATACCCAGAAGGGGAATCGCTGGATTGAATGGGACCTCTAGATCTAGTTTGCTGAGGAAGCTCCAAACTGATTTCCACAGAGGCTTCACCAGTCTGCATTCTCACCAGCAGTGGAGAAGAGTTCCTATTTCTCCACAGCCTTGCCAGCATTTGTTATTGGTTGATTTCTTAATGATGGCCATTCTTACTGGGGTGAGATGAAATCTCAATGTTGTTTTAATTTGCATTTCTCAAATGACTAATGATGTTGAACATTTTCTCATGCATTTATTTGCCATTTGTACTTCTTTATCTGAGAAGTGTATATTCATCTCAGATGCCCATTTTTGGATTGGGTCTTTGAATTTGGGGGGGCTGATGTTTTTTAATTCTTTGTACGTTCTAGATAGAAGACCTTTGTCCGAGGGACAGTCAGCTGAAAGTTTTTCCCAATTTGTGGGTTTTCTTTTTACTCTGCTGGTGATTTCTTTAGATGTGCAGAAACTTTTCAGTAGGATGAGATCCCAGTTGTTGATTCTTTGAATTATTTCACAGACAGTTTGGTTTTTGTTCATGAACTCTCTGCCTACCCCTATGACTTCAAGGTTTTTAGAAGTATCTTTCTGACAACAAACTGCCTGAAAGGTGCCTCCTTCTGATGGACAATGCTCTGACACACCCTCCAGCCTTGGCGGATGATGTGGAGGCTGAGTATGACTTTGTAAAGGTCAAGTTCCTCCCCTCAGCATGACAACTTTTCTGCAGTCCATGAACCAGCAAGTAATCTGCAACTTTAAGAAGCTGAACACAAAGGCACTCTTCATGAGGTGTTCTAAAGTCACTGAAGAGACATCTTCAACTCTGAAAGAGTTCTGGAAGAAACAGTCCAATGTCCTCCACCACATCAATATCCTTGATAAATCTTAGGAACATGTCATCTACCAGACTTTAAACTTAGCCTGGAGGCAACTGTGGCCAGAATGTGTCACTCAACATGACTCTATGGGACCCGATGCACAGGTAGTGGAGCAGACTGTGTCCACAGGCAAGAGTGAGGGTCTGGATGTTGATGGTACAGACATAAAGGAGCTTGCTGAGGGCCATAGGAGGACCTAATGACAGAAGAATTTATTGAATTCAGGAGTAAGCAGCAGAAGGCGCTTATTGAGGGACATCCAAGGAAGAGGAAGATGGGGAGGAGGTCAGCAGTGATGTGATAAAATCTGCTATAGAAAAATGGAATGAGCACTAGGATTTCTTTGAGAAGCACCACCCAACATGAGTGTAATGAACAGTGTTGAATCTGATGAACAATAACGTGTTCTCTCATTTCCAGAGGCTGATTCAACGCAGGACAAAATAAGGGAGAACAGACAGATTTTTTATCAAAATTTTCTTTGTAGCTAAGATACAAAGAAGAGAGAAAACACCTGAAGGAGATGGCCCTGCTGCCCTTATGGAGGGGGACTCTCCCTCCAAATAACAACCTCCTCCCCCCACCTTCCAATCCTCCACTCCAGAACTCACACCAATAGAGTTAGTGTTCTTTCTCTTCATGCTATGCTATACTTTGTTTCATATTTTTGTGGTTAAAAATATATATGCTTCAGAATGGACTAACCTTATTTACATTGAACCTTATAGGATAATTTGATTTGGTTTGTGACCAAAATTGGCTTGCTAACAGAATCATGGAATGAATTAAGTTCATGAACCAGGTACCACTGTACTGTCTCTAAAAAGTTCCTGTGATTCTTCCCTACCATTTGATACTTAGTTCACGTTGCTTTTGTTGAAAAATCAGATGTATTACTCGATTTATCCCTTAGTGTATCACAGGTACATTCAAATAGTTTAGCATCTCTTCAGTTAAAGAATGCTGTATCAGTGAAAGAGGAGGCATCAAGTTGGGCTCTGTACCTTAGAGCAATGGATTAAAACACCACCAGCAATCCAGATACTGTACTAGTGATTACATTTGTTTCAACTTTTATTTTTTGTTTCTGGGTGTTTACAGCGCATAGTGAATGCTTTCCTCCTGAGGAGTCAGTACCTGCCCACAGCACACCTTCATCCTTTTCTCCTTCCCATCCTTCCACTGCCTTTACCCTTCCTCCAGCTCTCGATCCCCTCCCATTTTGTGTGTTTCACAAACACTGATTAATTGACCAGACATTGCTACTTGACCATCCAAAACATTCTAAACCATGTTTTTCCATAGAAATTCTAAGAGAATTGATTATTCCGTTCAGTCCTGTACTTTTTGAAATGAAGTCACATGATGCAATCAATTCACTAGCTAATTTTCATCAAAATCACAAGATGATGAAAGGGCCCAAATCATATGAACTTTAAAAACTGAATTAAAAGACAGATTTTTCCAAGGAGAACATATCAGTGCCTGAAAAAAACAAAAGTAATTCAGGTATCCTTGAAATGAACAAGAAATCAGTTTGCTTGTAAATATTAATATAGGTGTACATTTCACATCTCATTGGTGATCAAAAGTATATAGTTAATTTCCCTTACCACTTTTTTATACCATCAAGCATTTCTTAAAGTTGAAATTGCCTCTCATGAAGACATCCTACACAAATGTTTGATGTAGTGCTCCAGACCAGATGTGGGGCGCAGAGGACTTTCTGAGAAAGAATGTTCTACCTAATCTTTACTTTTCATTTCACTTACTCTTTTCAAAATTTAATTTTAGAAATGTGACTGAATTAAAACTTAATACTAACAATCACAGCTTTATTATTTTACAATTCCTAGACACCTACACTTGTAACCTATGGATATATACTTTTGGCGGACATTGAAGACTAGATTATTTGACCATGAAATAACAACTTTTGAAACTCCTCCAACCTCTTTACCTTTGGGTATAAGACCAACAATAAATTTCTGGCTAAATATTATATGAATTAATGTATGATTTCTTTGACTGTATTGAGTTTCAATCCCCACTTGAATCCCCTGCCTTAGGCAATACCTCCTTCCTAGATGACCGAATGTCTTGAAAAAGGGAAAAATAATTGGGCTTTTCTTTATGAAACATAAGGATTCTTTCTACTTCATGCTTTTGTTGTAGATTCCCTTAGGAAGAAATCTAGGGAAAGCTACACTGGGAAAAAATGTGATTGGTTTGCCAAAAGAATGTGATTAGTTTGCCAATCTGATGTGGATAGAGATATTATGCTCCACTGTCATAAATATGATTTTGTTTCTAGAGTCCTTCCGAGCACCCCAAAACTCACCAAGAAAGTTTGGGTGATTTTAGAAGTCCTCACGTAGGCACTGTGAATAAGCAGCAAAGACGCCCCAGCAATAGGTAAGTATGATCAGTTATCCATCTGTAAACACAACAAGTATGGGAGAACTGAGGGCTTTTGCCACCATCCCGCTTCCAAATACAAGCACAATCTGGGAGAATCAATAAGCAAGTGACTGCATTTAGTGCGTGAATAGTTGTAACCATCAATTTAAATTTAAAGCCATATTTCGTGTGTATGAGAAAGGACATTTACAAAGTGCAAGAAGTCATTACAAATCGTCTCCTAAGAAGAGTGTACATGTGACAGTTTACACAGTCTACTCCAAAGGATTATTGTAACTGTGAAGTACCACGTTCATTTATTCAAAAATTTCCCACAGCTACTACAAGAAGTAAGATCTTTGGCTCCCAGGCCCAGTGCTTACTCTCCTCACGTAGACTTGAAATTAAATGTCCAGGCCTCTCATGAATTGCAAAACATATCAGTTTTGGTCAATATGATCTGAGTTCAAGTCCAACTCTCTTGACTGGCTATAGTCTCTTGAGCAGGTGCATCCACTTACCCATCAGTTAAAGGGAGTAATGATAATATTTCCCCCAAAGCACTGTTAAGGGGAGAATATAAATTAATAGGAGCAATGCACATAAATTGCTTAAAAAAGCAATGCACTCTAGCATATAATAGGTTGAATAAATGTTAATTAATATTATCCTGGTGTCTGAGTCACTTTTGTTATCACTGGGACAAAATTCCGGCACCCATAGCTTAAAGAAGAAGTTTATTTTAACTCATGGTTTCAGTCCATGGTTGGCAGGCTCCGAGGCAGAAATGGCGTAATGGAAGGGCACAGTGAGAGAAAACTGATAAGCTCTTGGTAGCCAAGAAGAAGAGAAAGCAAGGAAGAATGAGAGAGGAAGAGAAAGCAGGAAGCAGATATCGTCCCCATGGTCATGCCTACATTTCCCACTCAGATCACTGTTACATGCACTTTTAGTAATGTCCTATGTATCTCTCAAGCAAATCAAGTTGACAATCAAGATCAAGCATCACAGCTATGGAAAGAAAAATGGTGGAAGGGATTACTAGGAAAGCTACTTATGTCAAGAAGGCCAGGAAGCTAAGAGCAAAGGGAGGAGAGCTGGGGAGGAACATATGACCTTCCAGGTCATGTCCCCAGTGGCCCACCTCTAACCAGCTCCCATCTCCTAACAAGTCAATTATGAACTCATTGGGATGCCAAGCCACTAATGAGTCCACCACCTTCCAACTACTTGAAGCTTCGGGAGATACCCCATTTCTAAACAATAACACCTGGTTTCCATCAACTAACACAAAATGAGTATACCCTCCCCCCAACAAAAAGAAACATGACCTCTAATCCCTCTATAAAGTCCTTGCCTGACACCAACATTATTGGAATCCATTGGAAATAGAGTCCATTGGAAATGTGGGATCTCAGTCCTCACCCCAATCTACTGAAAAACACACTGAAATTTACCCTGCCCATTTGGATATGCTTTATAATTTGAGAAACACAGCTTGAAGTACCATCAGCCCATAATATCACTACTTTCCTCTCCAGTGCTGCTACAACCCCACTTTGCCCTCCAGAGGTATTGTTCCAAAATCATTGAACTCTGTAGAGTCTTCTTGAAGTGTTCACTGGTATCCTTTTCATATATGAACCACGGTTCTCCCCTAAAGACATAGCTTTTTCTGTAGATTTCTGCAGTAATGATTGCTTGTTCTTTCACACCCTAAGAACATCAGTTGGGGTTTTTTTCTTCTTTCCTGGTGCTGTTCTTTTTTCTAGTAACATACCCAACTTGGTTGGGATCATGTCATCTGAGTCTCTACCTTTTTCCCACTCCTTTGCCCTCTGCATTTCAAATCTTTCATTCATTCCCTTTCATGCCTTAGACTTTGCCACCTGTTCATGCCAAACATTTGTCTTCTTAAAAGGCTACAACAACCATAGGTACAATTAGCCCAACAACCTGCCTTCTCAGTTTCTCGACAACCGTGTTACCAAAACATTTTTCTGATGCTTCACATCAGCACTCATTTCTTGGATCACACTTTAAACCCTGTCACCATCTGCAACAATTTCAGTCCCAAAAGCAATAATTGAAGCGCCCCAGTCTCAAGTCATATCCTCTTCTCCTTCCAATGTTCTGGACATGGCCATCCTCTCCCAACATCATTGATATTGCTACTTTGCTTCAATCTGTTGGCCTTTTGTAAAAAAAAAAAAAAAATCTTCAACTCCCTCTTCACCTAATTTAGAGTCTATGATCTATCCTATTCTAGAATATACTTTAAACTTCATGATTGACTATTGCTTGTATACAAATCTCCCTACAACTATCATCACTCTCCCTTCCTGCAACAGTCACACCATTGACTTTGGCACTGTATACAGCCAATTCTTCCGGGGCTGGGGATTTAGCTCAGCGGCAAAGTGCCTGCCTGGCAAGTGCAAGGTCGTGAGTTCGGTTCCCGGTACTGGAGAAAAACCAAAA